TACGACAGCAATGTATTGCGACGCCATGATAAAAGGGAAAAGAATCCCATTAATTGTCGATACAGGAGCAGCTGGTAGTATTGTTACCTGTCAGCTGTTGAATGACTTGGGAATTGCGATAGACCGACCATCTGCTATTGTGATGATAAACGTCAACGGGGAAAAGAAACGGCCATTGGGTGAAGTGCTGGATTTTCCGATAACCGTTGGTGGCGTTACTGTTCCTATCAACGTGGTAGTAATCGATACCGAATCTTATAGTGCCATAGTAGGTAACGATTGGCTATCGAAAGTGCAAGCCCAGTTAAATTATAAGGCATCGACGTTGTTGTTCACTTGGCAGGGCCGAGAAGTGGAAATCCCTGTTGAATATCAGATGATGCTGCACGAACGAACGATAAAACAAAAAGAGGAAGAGGCGAGGATAGTTGAAAGTGAAGAGGAAGAGGACGATGTTGATGGAGATGAGGAGGAAGAGTCTGACGATGAATACGAAGAGGAAGAATTAGAAGAAAAGGTTTATTGTTGCTATCAGTTCGAAAGCGACAGTACGGATACTTTAAAGCAACGTAGATCGTCCGGACTGAAAAAAGAAAATAGTACGACGAGTGGGGATCTAGTTCTCTTCAATCAAGGGTTTTATTTGCAAAGAAACTTCTACCATTGGAATTATTACCGATATTTAGACGGAAAGTTCCAATCGGAAAAAGCTCGAAAAGAAATTTGTGGAAATGAAGGCAAAAGTCTTTGCCTATGTGGTAAAGCAAGAGGATGTAAAACCTGCCGAAATGATTTTACTCTATATACGGCAGTGAAAAACGTCCCGGAACAAATCGTCACCACGATGAGTATAGTTACGCCTGAAGAGAATGAACCGCCTACAAAGGAACAACGATCACGAGACCTCGAATCGGTCGAATTTACACCTAAGGATGTTGATGCGATTCTGCATGAGCAACAGGCCATCAGATGTTATTATTGTGGGAGGCAAGAAATCGGAAAGATAAGGAAACGGAGTGTTGCGTTACCCTTTTTACATAATGAAATTACCGATATCTTTGCGGGAGAATCAAAGCTACCGAATGTTGGAGAACTAACCGAAACTCAACGGAATGAATTTCAGAAGTTGATTGAACAGTATCGGGATTTGTTTGCTTGGACAACTGCGGAATTGGGTCGGACAGATTTAGTGTATCACTCGATCGACACCGGAGATGCTAAACCGTTTCGACAACTGTGTTACCGAACGTCCCGAACCGAACAACAATTTATAGCTGAAGAAATCCAAAAGATGCTGAAGCAAGGGCTCATCTAAAAATCCAAAAGCGCATGGGCATCTCCTGTTGTTTTGGTTCGGAAAAAGAATGGGAAAATGCGATTCTGCGTGGACTATCGTCAGTTGAATCAAGTCACTAAAAAGGATTCTTATCCTTTACCACGAATAGACGATATGCTCGACGCCTTAGGACATGTATCGTGGTACACTTCGTTGGACTTAGCCAGCGGCTACTGGCAAGTCGAAGTTGATCCCAAGGACAGAGAGAAAACGGCTTTCATCACCCAGTATGGTACCTATCAATTCCTGGTGATGCCGTTCGGCTTGTGTAATGCACCGGCAACCTTTCATCGATTGATGAACGGTATATTGGAGGGGATACTATGGGATTTCGTGGTGGTGTACCTTGACGATTTGAACGTATATTCAACAACGTTCGAAAAACATCTGGAACATTTAAGGAATGTATTCGACCGACTTAAGAACGCCGGATTGAAACTGAATCCCGAGAAATGTTATTTCGTAAAAAGAGAACTATCGTTTCTGGGATATGTGATCAGTTCCAAGGGAATACGCACCGATCCCACGAAAATCGAAAAGGTGGAAAACTTTCCGATACCTTGGAACGTCACCCAATTGCGTGGATTTTTGGGATTAGCGTCTTATTATCGACGATTTATCAAAGATTTCTCAAAGATCGCAAATCCCTTAAATAAGCTATTAAGAAAGGACAGTCCTTTTGTATGGACTGAGGCGCAACAACAGTCATTTGACTTATTGAAGACGCATTTAGTTCAAGCGCCTATTCTCGCATACCCGAAGTTTGACGAAGAATTCATCTTATTGACGGATGCTTCAACTTTGGGATTGGGCGCTATCCTCGCTCAGAAGGACGAAGACGAATTCGAGCGAGTCATCGCATATGCAAGTAGGACATTGAGCAAAGCCGAAAGGAATTATTCGGCTGCCGAACTTGAGTGTTTAGCGGTTGTGTGGGCCGTTGGACACTTCCACCCTTACGTACATGGAAAGCGATTTACTCTTATAACGGATCATTCGGCATTGTGTTATCTTTTTAACTCGGCAACTCCTACCGGAAGATTGGCTGCTGGATCATGAAACTCCAACCCTACGATTTCAAGATTATCCACTGCGCCGGCAAGAAACATACGAACGTTGACAGTCTATCGCGAATATATTAGGAATCGACGAAATCATAAAATTTTACCGGGATTGTATTTCTGGACGACACCTCTTATCGGATTACGGCTTGATCTAACCCAACCATGGATATTACGCTATATTACCAACTATTACAATATCTGAATAATCTTGTTCTACCGGAAACGATGGATTCCACACAAATCCGTAGTTTCAAAAGCAAAGCTCGACACTATTGTTCTATTAACGGAATTTTATACAAGAAAAATAATCAGAACCCTCAAAAACCTTTACGGGTCCTTCAACCTAGCGAGGTGGAACCGATTTTATATAATTTCCATAGTGATTTGTTAGCCGGACACTTTGGATTTAACGAAACCTATCGGACTATTAGTGAAAGGTACTATTGGCCGCAGATGGGAGACGATATTAAACAATATGTGCAGACCTGTGAAATATGTCAAAAATGGAAACTGCCAATAAAATCGGAACCGTTACATCCCATCAAGGTAGGAAGACCCTTCGATCGAATCGGAATGGATATTGTGGGACTATTACCAATAACGCGAACCGGAAATCAGTATATCATCGTGGCCACTGAATACTTAACGAAGTGGCCGGAAGCTCGTGCCCTTCCAGACGCTAAGGCCGCTTCGGTGGTTCCGTTTTTCTATGACGATATCATTTGTCGGCATGGTTGCCCGAAGGAACTTCTAACCGACCAAGGAACTCATTTCGTTAATGAGCTTCTGGATTCGTTATGTAATCGGCTGTGAGTAAAACATCGGTTATCCACTGCTTACCATCCACAGACGAACGGGTTGGTCGAAAGGTTCAATTGGACCTTGTGCGAACTTTTGGCCAAGTATTCTGACCAATATCAGCAGGATTGGGACGTCTACCTCCCATCCGCCTTGTTTGCCTATCGCACCATGCGACAGAACATGACCCGTTACGAGCCTTTCTATTTGATGTATGGGAGAGAGGCTACTATACCGATTGAATTACAAATCTCTAGTCAACCTGATAGTTCCGAACAAGTTGAAGACCTTACAGCAACATATTTTAAGCGACTATATCAGATAATTGGACCACTGGAAGAAGATC